TGATCCCAAATCACTTCTTCCTCGGTCGAAATCAACTGGTGGTAACTATGAATCCATGAGGCTACCTCAAGGGAAAAAGGCTCTTCCTGATGTTAAAACAGACATAAAGAGGACCAAATCCGCAGGTGTTTCGCCTCAACCGAGGCGTGAAAAGATCGATGAATCCGCTAAACAGTTTATGAAGATGAGATGTTTTGATGACAATGATTCCATTTGGTTGTCTTCTGATTGCGCGTCTCCTACTTCTCTTCTAGAGGAACGCAGAGTTTCTGTCTCGTTTCATTTCTCAGTCGATGAAAAGATCGTCTCTTGGTTGTCGAATGTGGCTAAATCTTCCTTGTCTTTGAATCAAGAATCCACCAGTTCAACCAAAGAGAAAAGTTCAAAGAACGCGAAATGTTCTTCAGATAACATTCGAAAAGACGGAAAATTTTGCAACTCGGTTGAGAAATCTCTTGGAACAGGTTCCGCAAAGGCGTCTACGCGTTTACCTGAAAGCAATCCTCGGAAAACATGTGAAGAACCATCATCTAGTTCGAATAAACTTCCGAGTCTCGAAGAAAAGAAAGTTACCTTCTCAGTAGAAACAGAGAAGTCTCCTTCACCGGCTACTACCATCCCGGCATCATCTTTGGAGAAGAGTGCAGAGATTGGAGACTCAAAGCGCAAGATTGTTGTGGAGCCGCTTTTTTGGCCATTTGAGCAGAAGTTTGATTGGACACCAGAGGATATATTGAAGCATTTTTCGATGTCTCCGCGGAGAAAGAAATCACTAGGAACCAAAATTGCAGGTACTTCTCCAATATCAATGAGAGCACAACTCCAAACAAGAAAGCTAGAACTCAAAGAAGGTTGTAAAAGAAAGCTAATGTTCAACGGTCCTGGAGGATCAAATTCAAAACCAACACGGATTCCAGAATTCAACCGAACAATCAGCAACAACAGTAGCACCAAGAAAACAGAGATGAGCAAGAACCAAGTACAACCACCCATCAGGAACAACATTGTGAAGAGGAACAAGAGTTTACCATCGAGGTTGCGAAAATCGAGCAAAATATCATCAAAGGTTGTACCTGTTGAAGCTACAGAAGACATTGAAGAGATATCAAAAGAGCAAAAAACACCGAAGAAGCTCATTATGACCCGCAAGTCCAGGACTTTCTTAGAAGATGACTTTGCTTTGATGAATGATTTCTCTATCGAAAATGCGGTCGGACTATGCGAGTTCAAGGGAAGAGAAGGCATAGATTCAGATTTCAACACTGATGGTTTCTTGTTCCATGATACTCTATGAAAAGAAAAATGCTTGTATAGGTTTCGATAACTCGAGTTGTATATATACTTGCCAAATCAATGCTTTGGCAACAATTTTGTTCCTGGATGATATTATATCTGTTGGATAGTATGTACAGGTAACATTTATATACACATATGTACTCAATTTCAGAGATCAATCAAAATGTTGTTATTGAGTTCTATAGAACATGGTCGCTTACAATCAACTCAGTATACAGAGAAGAGAAATCAATTGGACCACAAATGAATCATTGTTACATTTCTAAGAGAAAGATTACGCCTTAAGGCCAAAAGAATAGTCATTGTTACGTGTTACCTAAGCAATACAAAGAGTAAGATCAAGCAAGAGAAGAGCATTTATGGCCAGACTCACCGGAAGTAGAGCCACCGCATTGGCTTGAATTTCTGGTCGGAAGAGGAGGGACGAGAGCAAAACAGAGCTTTCCTCTACCAGATCGAAAAGACCAGACATGAAAGACATCATTGACTTTAAACGTGTTCTTAGCAACCACATCGTTCCAACTATCAACAAAGACATAGTTCCAGCCTCCACTCATCTTCCACTTCCTCAAATTAACGACATGTTTGTTCAACAGAGGATCAACCAAATCAACACTCACACCTTCTTTACGAATCTTCAACACAGACTGTTCGTATATGATTCTTGATTCTTCCTCCGTAAGAAAATCTGAGTTCACTACTTGGTTTAATGGGATCGAGAGACGTGTTTGGACTCTATCGAGATCGCTCTGGTACAGTTTCTTCGCTATGATCAGCTTTGGATTGTATCCGTTACCTTCTCTCATCATCACGTTCAAGAGCCACTCAGGAGGATTCGTTTGCGTAGGCAACAACACGAGTTTAGGTTTCTTGCGAGTACTTCTCTCTTCTTCTTGTTTGGAGACGTTAATGGTGGAGACGCTAGAAGATCCCAGATCAAGATTAGGGTTTTGTTGTACTCGTAATTCTTCTTCAAAACGACGAACGACTCTGCGTTTCTTTAAGCTTCTCTCTTCTTCTTCAATGGAGACACGACGTTTCTTGGATTCATAGAAGCAAGAAGAAGGAGAAGTTTCCGGGTTCTGTAGTTCAACGGATCTCTGTTTCTCGATGACACGTGTCCATGGTGTTGTTGTTGCCATGGAAGATGATGATCGGTGACTACGATGAGTTCTCTTCTTTCTAGGTACATTCACAGTGATTCTCGCTTCTTGTTCTTTTTCTCTCTCAAGGGCAAACATAGCGGCGACTTCAGCCAACACGAGCAGCTTCGAGTTTGATCTACTCGGCTTTGAAAGCGAAACCCTAGGTTTCGTACTCGGACATGGAGGCGACTTGGAACTGTCTTTCTTAGTGGTTCTGGCATCGTACTCTCTAGCGGCAACATCGGCCAACATCTTCAGATCATTCCAGTTGTCCGGTGCTGAAGCCATAGGGCTATCAAAGTTCTTCATTTACGAACGAAGCGTTGTGCGCAAGAAATTGAAAGCAGAGAGAGAAAATGATCGTGAAGTAAAGTAAAGAGATGGTGTTGGATATATTTATATATGATATAGATTTCCTTTTTTTGAAATACTTGACCGTTGGACTGATTTTCCTTTTCTGAAAATTGGTAATCCAAAATTATGTTAAATCTTGCTGCTTGTAACTTGTAAGCCAACAAGAAAAAAAATTACTAGCTTTGTTTTAAAATACATAAATGACTAGCTAATTTCTTAATATTTCTCCTTTCTCAATAAAAAAAAAACATTCTTAATATTTATTTTCCGGTTTAGAGCATTTTTAACGCTGAATTTTTTAGAGGGTCTTAAAATTAATCTGATTAAACAACAATTTAATTAGATGAATTTCAGATGAAACAGGTCTGTGGGATGAAACGAACGAAACCGGGTCTTCGGGACACATGGCGATTTTTTATTGGACCTCCATGAAAAAAATCAGATCTGTGGGGGAAGGGAAAAAATGTTTTCG